AAGGAAAACTTCACAGGGGAAGATGGAGGTCGTTATTGCTTATTATTTTCACAGGCGTGTTGTACATGTGTGCTGTGGTCCTTACAGCATGAAGACAATAAATAACAAGCCCCAACTGGATTTAAAAGATGTTAGCTGCAGTTTCACCTGCTAAAATGTCATAAGCAGCTGATCAAACGTGTGTGACATGACAATAACAGTCCAGAGTAGAATCTATACATTTGTCCATTACAAAGCAAAGGCAGCCAACTTAGTTTGTGGTCATGCAGAAAAACTTGGAAAATCCTGGAACTCATCCCAAATACTCATATATCCGGAGGTTCTTACACAGAGAGATTGTGGGAATGTGAGCAAGAAGCGAGGCGAGGCCGTGTCTCAGTTGCGCTAGCTCTCACCCCTCAGGTCTTCGTGCGATCCTTATTTAAAAGTGGGGAGTCCGACGGGACGTGCAGTGAAATTCCAACCAGTGCGATGAAAGAGAATCTAATGAATCAAATCCAATCCTATTAGTTCCGGCCCACATCACAACACTGAGGCCTTTCTGCTTGCTGATCGCCGAAGATCTACCAGAGCTTGAGAAACAGGGTACTGGACGGATGGACTGGTACATGAAATGGGTTGTGTAATCAAACCAACGGATCAAAGACACATTGAACGGTGTCTATGTGTGCGATATAATAAATATAAAAGACTGACCTTGAGAAATTGATTTTTTTGTTTCAGAAAAAGAATTTTAAGAGCTCTTCTATAACAAATGTGTTTATGGAAGGTTTCCAAAAGAAAATCAGTAGTCACGTAAATACTCTCACATTTATGATAATCAATGTTTTAGTTATCAAATAAAGTAAGGACAGCAGAAATAAGGAAGCTCAGTGTCTTTGGCAAAGAGGAAGTTGCATAGCTGCTGCAGGTGGCTTGAACAGGGCATTATATTTGTAATATACCGCTCTGTAATCGCTGACTGCAAAGACACTTGACTTATTTTTGTTTCCTTTCCATTTCTTCCTGTCCTTCTCTCTGTCATTTTGCCTTATCCCTTCTTGTTTTCTGTGCTGGTAGTGACTCTCTCTCCAGGGAGTGGGAAAAACGGCAGAACAAAGCGTCGTAGGGAGCAGGGCTCATTGGGAGTCTGAGCTGGAGGCTTTGTAGGACAGCCAGCTGGACATACAAAGAGAGTAAGAACGAGAGAGAGAGAGAAAGCAAAAGGGGGATGCAGAGCCGGAGAGGTGTAAGCGCGACCCAGGATATGGGTGTGGGTGCTGCCGAGGCTCGCACGAGAGGGGGAGGGACGAGGAGGGGAATGGGGTGAACACTAGATCCTGCTTTGTGATCCACTCATGCAGAACTTTTGCCCTCACACCCCTGGCTTTCTATTCTCCAGCTCTGAGCTCTGCATGCCCACCCTTCACCCCTCGCACCCCCATCTCTATCCTTGAGTTCTCAAGGTGAATGCATACCTTGACTCTAGGGGTCTAACAACTAAAAATCAAGTCAGGAATCTTGGTGTGATTCTGGAGACAGACCTTAGTTTCAGTAGTCATGTCAAAGCAGTAACTAAATCAGCATACTATCATCTCAAAAACATTGCAAGAATTAGAGGTTTTGTTTCCAGTCAAGACTTGGAGAAACTTGTTCATGCCTTTATCACCAGCAGGGTGGACTATTGTAATGGTCTCCTCACCGGCCTTCCCAAGAAGACCATTAGACAGCTGCAGCTCATCCAGAACGCTGCTGCCAGAATTCTGACTAGAACCAGAAAATCTGAGTATATCACACCAGTCCTCAGGTCCTTACACTGGCTTCCAGTTATATTTAGGATTGATTTTAAAGTACTTTTACTTGTTTATAAATCACTCAATGGCCTAGGACCTAAATACATAGCAGATATGTTCACTGATTTTAAACCTAATCGACCACTCAGATCATTAGGATCGAGTCACTTAGAAATACCAAGGGTTCACACAAAACAAGGGGAGTCTGCTTTTAGTTATTATGCCACCCGCAGTTGGAATCAGCTTCCAGAAGAGATCAGATGTGCTAAAACATTAGTCACATTTAAATGCAGACTCAAAACTCATCTGTTTAGCTGTGCATTTATTGAATGAGCACTGTGCGATGTCCGAACTGATTGCACTATATTTTATGTATAATCATTTTCTATTCTTAACCGTTTTAAATTCATTTTAAAACTCTTAAATCAATTTTTTAATCATTTTCAACGTTTTTAAATTCCTTGTTTTATTGTTGTGATTATTTTTTTTCTTTTCTTTTATGCAAAGCACTTTGAATTACCATTGTGTATGAAATGTGCTATAGAAATAAACTTGCCTTGCCTTAATATTAGCATATTTATAATGTTTTATATTTTTAAATAATTAAATAATTATTTTACATTTTATTGACTCCAAGAGTGAATATTTGTTGGGAATATTAGCGGCAAACTAATTTTTGATTTGAAACATTGCATTCCAATGGACCTATTCAGACCAGGGGGAAAAATTCGCCCAACAACATTTTTGTAATTTTTTTATTAAATTTAATTTAAAAAGAGAAATCGGCATATGAATATTGGCAGCTAACATTTTCCTTTTGTTTTGTTTCAATTCACACCAAGAGCGAATATTTGTTGGGAATCCTGGCAGCAAAGAAGGTTTTTGTGTTTTTGTTTTTTGAAACTGCATTCATCCAACAACAGAACAAGATTTTTTTGAAAGGCTTTACTTTTTGCCCAATGAAACTCACAGGCCATGCTATAAGCTTTTGTTTTGCTTTGATTCAAGTACTGTCATTCCCTACATATCCACTATCCTATCTTTCTTTATGATGGCATAAGTTTTTTCTCTACCTACTTTTTTCTCTCTCTCTTGCTCTCTCTTTAGGAAGATTCGTGTGTTCTCCATCCTCCTGAGCTGAAGATTAAGGCACAGTTTAAGGGTCAGCGTGAGCTGGAATAGTCCTTTGCAGGTCCACCCTAACACCCCATGGAGGGCTGAAGCGTGCCCATTTTTGGGTCCTCACCAGGGTCGCTCGACATGACCTGCTACCTGGCAGGGGGTACAGTGAAAAGAGAGCACTGAACGAACAAGTGACTAGTGTTTGGAACCCAAGGTCATGGCTTGCAATATGGTTGGTCAGTGAAATCTAAAATAGTACATTTGTTTTAGGAACCACATAAAATACATGCTCATTTCTCAGAAGCAGCTGAACGACCGTTATGCACTTACAGTGGAAGTCAATGGGGTAAATTGCACAATTAAGTAAATATGTTTTATGTTTATTTTTAGGCACTTTTTTTCTTATGTAGAACACGAAAGGTGAGTTTTTATGAATATTCTATTCTGGCAATTCTTTGCAATATAACAAAAGTTATATGGGGCTGCCAATCTTCAAAATGACAAAAAAGCATCATAAATGTAGAATAAAACAGACTTGTGCTCTGTATTACAAGTCTTCTGAAGTCGTACGACAGCTTTGTCAGAGGAACAGATTAAAATGAAAATTCATTATTCACTGAAAAACTCTCCTTGGCACATTCATGAGATTAATAGTGATGTCTAATTAGTGAATGAATCATTCTTTTGAAAAAGATATTTAAAATGAATTTACTGACCTGATTCACAAAACTGGTCTGAATGCTGCATTCACAAATTAAACTGATGGAATGATCTGGTTACACCAGTTAACAGCTTGCTGGGAGGGAGGATTATCAATTAGTCAATGACAACTTAAATTCTGGTCTGTTCCACACACAAATCTATTTTATGTCATCAGAATATCTTAATAGAGAGCATGAGTTGTCCAAACCACTTTTTTGATACCTTATGAGAGATTGAAGATATAATTTTCGCAGAAATGAGTTCACACTGGTATTAAAACCAGTATATAAACAATGCTATAGTACATCCGAGGTAATATTTCTATCGCTCACATCTCTTCTGCCTGTGGCTTAAATTCACTATTAAATTAATTGGTAGGTTTGTAGAATTAAACCCCGATCAGGTCAGGACTGTTAACTCAGCATGTTTCTTCTGTTCTTCTGTGCTGAAGCAGCAGGACTGGTGAGTGGAACACAAGACCAGACTGCATGAGACAAATTGCTTTCTCTGTCCCATTTGATTCAATCTCTGTGATGAGTGGGACACATACTGTGCACGCAAATAGGTACAAATTTCTCGCTTTTTGCTTCGTGAACGGTGAAAAATCGTTGAACGTATGTGAACCCAAAAAGAAGAAAGGAAAAGAAAAGTCCTGTGTCTTTCCTCATCCTCTTTGCTGCTCAGTAATCAAATTCAACTAGGTTTCTGTTGTCTGATAATTGAAATGTTTAAGTGTGAAAACTGAAATGATCTCCACTTCGAGCGAAACGTCTTCACTTCGACAAATGAGAACGTTCCAGTTACATAAGTGATTCGGTCCGCTCACATCTCCTCTCTGCGTAAAATAGAAATTGTGTTGAGAAAGTGTGAATCCCCCCCAGACAAAAGCCAACCCTTTCATGGCCGACAAGCAGCCAAAGCCATTGGAGAGGGTCAGTTTTGTTTGAAAACACTCCCTCTCTCATGCCATTGAGAGAGTAGCTTGATGCAGAAATGAAGGGTGTCTACTTCTCTTTTTGTGGTACAGGCCAGTAGCAGTCAGGCAATGCGTTTTCGGCCATTTGATGTTTTAAAGAGCAAGGGAGTTTGTCATTCTGAAGGATTTGATCAGTCGACTAGCAGACACTTGATTAATGGAACTGATCCCTTTCGGTATGGGAGATCTCCTTCCGTCACTCCCGGGCCTTGTTTTCCGTCTTTGGGACGTGCAGAACGAATGACACAGATGTTGTTGGAGGAGACAGTCCCCGTCCCTCTCCTCCTCTCCTGTGCTCCCAGCATGGGGCCAGAAACTTGTTTTTCAATCATTGTTTCCACCAACTTCTTTCCCAAAAGAGAAAAGCGAGGCGAAAAAGAGGAGGGAGAGCGTGGAGGGAGTGCTAAATAAAAGAGGGAGGGAAAGTAAATACAAAGCATTTGTGGAATATAAAGAAAAAACATTCTTTATAACAATCTCCCGATAATTAACACCACAAGGACTGTGGGGAGAAGGGTGGATCGGTCAGAACCGCATTTGGGATGTTGTAGTGAAGGGTGCAGAGCGAGAGGAGAGGCGCTTTAAGCTGAAGATGCAGGTGTCAGCATGGCTGCTGTGGGTGGCATGGCTGTGTACCTGGACCGAGGCGGCATGCCAGTGCCAATGCCAGTGTGCATGCCCACCTGAGGAGCAGTTGGCACAGAGATCAGAGAGGTCAGAGGGGAGAGGGCACCTTCGCCATCGCCTGACGCATCAGCGGGCGTCACACAGGGACAGGGCCCATCGCAGAAAAGGTAAAACTAATGGATTTTTTGGGGAATGTAGCACTGTTAAGAAACTAAGCAGTGTAAAATTAATAATTCAAATTGTATTTGCCTTTCAATTAAAGGTTTTGTGACGAATAAGCATGCAAATTAATGTATACATTTATGCTAAATCTATAAACTTGGAGGGGGAAAAAACAAACATTTTTGTAATTTTTATCCAGGACCCAATGGTGATTTTATTCAGATTTTATTATCAACCTAATGGCTTCGGCAGCCGATTTCGGGCATATCAGCATGGGGTCCAAAGCATGAAATCAGAAAGACAGTGATAACTTGATAAAGTCTTTTTCACTTCATGATTTTCACATGTGGACACTCTTCATTTAATTTATATGTGAAGTAAGTGTGACAGTACCATAGCGCATTACGTTTACATGACTATTTAAAGTTTTAATGTTTAAAAAACTTTAGTTGGTGTAGTTTATTATATATTTGACCTTTTAGTGAATGACTTTTGAAAACTGTAGGGAAATGATTAACAGGGAAAAACGGAATAAGTTCCTGTTAAATAATTTAATAATGAATAATATAATAATAATGTGTGCATATAGCAGACGCTTTTATCCAAAGCGACTTACAGTGCATTCAGGCTATACATTTTTTACCAGTATGTGTGTTCCCTGGGAATCGAACCCACACTCTACAATGCTCTACCACTGAGCCACAGGAACACTATTAACACTATTGTTAAACCCATTTCCTCTGCTATTCTTGGTATAGTTTTTATTTATTTGTTCATAGTTTTATTTATTTGTAATAAAATATCTGAATTAAACTATATATATATATATGTTTTTTTTTATGTTATAACATAAAATATAAAATACATATTTAATTTTGTGTTTGAGCAGGGTATTATGAAGATTTATTTCTAATATAATAAAATTCTTGACCACTTGTTACTTATTAAAAGCATGCTTTATTCCTGACTTTAGTCCATTTTGGTATATAAATAATGTTACGCTCAAACTCAGACATTGTTAAGGAATTCAAAGAGACTTATTTATGCGTAAAACGTGCTGAAAAGTTACTCTGGGCGCTAAATCAGCCTGGAGTTCTTTTGGGGGGCAGCTTTAATTCTGTGTTGTGGTATGCAGCCCCATAGTCCCTCAACATCTTTTGTTAGTCGCTGAAAGCTGGTGATCCTCAGGCCATCAAGGCACTGCTCCCTGGATCAATATACGTGTCCATCAGTGTGGCCTGCTCTTTTAGGCCACACAATGGACAGTTCTCTAAACAGTACTTTATTTATATGTGCCTTTCGAGAAAATGAACTGCCGCCACCTCTGCTTTTCTCTCCTATCCTTTTCTTTTCGGCTTTCTGTTTTCTCCTCTGTCCGTCTCACCCCCACAGCGACCGTATTTACACAGACTTAATAGTAATTGGAAGGAGCAAGTGTTGCTCCTCAGTAAGGTTGTGACGGTGAATTTTCCTACCGGTTAATCGACGTGTGACAACACCGATAATACCGGTATCACCGTGGGGGCAGGAGCGTTCCCTCTTTTCCTCGCTTTCCTTCGCTTTTAAATAGCTTTTAAAAAACGGCGTGCACATTTTACTTTCACTTTCAAATAGCGGCAATTTGGCGTAAAGCAATTTATCGTTTTTAGTTCGTTTGAATTTTCCCTCTTTTCCTCCACTTTTAAATAGCTTAAAAGCGCTGTGCGCATTTTACTTTCACTTTCGAATTTAGTGGCAATTCGGCGTCAATTGCTTGAATGCAACAACAAAATACAACGTCAAACTCACTTTAGCATATATAAAACATAAAACTTTTATTAACAAAACGAATAAAAATACACCATGCTATAGGGCAGGCTATGCCTAATATAAAATAACAAATAACTTACATAAAGTTTAAATAGGTAGGCTATACAAAACTGGAAATGAGTAAACATGTATAATATATAACCAAATAAATAAGAAGCGTAGAACATTTATTAGCAAAACGATTAAGAAAGCTTGAAGGCACGGCATAGCCTACATCTTGATGTCAAATAAAAAATTACACAAAGTTTAAATGAAGTAAAAATCCTTTTGTTTGCTCTTACTTTTTTTCTGACTGCGGTTGTATTATTTAAGAAACGTATGAATCTACAGCACAAGTTTGTGATTTAATGGAAAAAGTTTGAACAGTACTGGTTCATGTCGATATTCTCTTCTTTTAAGTTTAACAACCTTTCTGATTTACGTGGGAATATTTCATGCATTTCATGCAGATTTTTTTAAAGGCTCATGATGGTTAGCAATAGCATCAGTTTGTATTCACATATTGAGCCATTTGTGCAGCTTAAAGGAAGTTGTTCTTGGCTGTGAGGTCTAATGCTTTCCAGTTTCTGTATGCTGTCATCACAAACATTTGACAGAGGTCTTAGATCACACATTAAATTACAAACTCAACTAATAGTGAAATCATACATGACCACAACCACCACCCCCCTGAAGTGATGATAAAAGTTGTATAGAAGTTTCACTATGTAAAAAAGTGGATGTAGTGTAGAAGAAAAAACAAACCTCCTCGGTCTCCCCTACTGTATGTGTAAATGTAACAAACACAATTTGGCCCAAAGTATGGCCCATTGTTTAAACTATGTCGTCTTGAATTCAAAACAAAACATAAACAGAGGGCAAAAGTAGGCCTTTGGGAAACTTTAAGTCACGTGTAGTTTACCTCACCAAATTGTTGGAGTCATTAGTTAGCGCTGGCTCGTCTGTCATTGGAGGACGGTGTAAATCCGCTCGCCTCCAGTCGTCAGTCATCAGCTGCTGTGTACTGCTGCTGCTGCTCCAGTCAGTCACCGGGGCGGGCCTCAAACCCGATGGCGCTCTGTTCAACACTCATACTGACTGAAACGACAGAGACATGACTGTGAAACCTGGAGATCCCAACTGAAATACCGTTCCGTTACATAACCTGGAAAACCATTCATCGTCGCGGATTTGTAACGCAGATAGTCTGATAGAACAGCGATGCTTTTGTTCGTTTTCATAGACTGAATTCGACATCACACGTAAAATGACAAGATACTTTATCAAGCTCTGTTGGGTTTTGGGGATTATTTATAATGTTGAAGGTAAGCACAAAGTAAAGACTAACGATACTTTTGTTTGTTTGCTTTCCTTTTTCGACCAACATATCATTTTTGTTTAAATGTCCAATAATTAATATCTTGAAACGATTAGTTTTATTTACTGGTTTTGAAGCAATAATAACTCAATTAGAAATTGGAGTCAATTATTTTGATGATATTATTATTGCGATGATGATGATGATGGTAATATTAACAGTGCATATTTTAGTTGTTTTGTGATTTAAATTATCACAAATGTATTTTCATTTTTAACGATTAATGCGATCTAGGCTATATGCTTGCTTTCCAGCTATTTCCAGAAGCCCTCATAGACTGACTTATAATCTAAAGCAGAATTTATCTTTGTACATAAAACTCGTGTTTTTTATTAATTCGTGTAAACAAGTCTCTCAAAACCCCATGTAGAATGTCACAATATACTGTGGAAAGTGCCGCTTTGCTTTTTTTTTTGTTGCAAACTTCCAGTGTTTCCCCCAAATTCCTCTAGTTGCTTAGACACAATCTGTATTGTTAAAAGCGCTATATAAATAAAGGTGACTTGACTTGACTCTACAATGAAAATGACATAGCAGGCATGTAAGACTCTTGATTTCCTCTCTTTCAGGAAACTACCCCATCACAGACAATAGAAACTTTTAATAGTAGAATATTTCTGCCAAGAATGTAGTGTTGAGATTCTCTGTTGTGCACTTCACCCCATTACCTCTTCTTTTCATGCATCAGGAAAAGACGTGCCTTATTTCCAGCCTGGTCTCATGTTTATACGTAGGTATAAATACGTAACATTTACAAGCACAAAACGTACACTTTTGTACGTTTTTAGTCATGCTAAAACGTACAATTTAGACGTATTTCAACGTTTAAAACGTACAAATCGCTACGTATTTTTAGCTAAAAAACGTAAAAATATTTACGTATCTTTTATATCATTTAGATATTCATATCAATGCATTTTTATCATTTTATTAATAAGCGATTTCGATTTTTAGACCCCTTAACCTGCCCCCAAACCTAAACCTACCCATTTTATAGCGAATATGCGTAAAATACATACGAATTATCATGAGATCACGTTGTTATTTCAGTTTGTCTAACAACATTATTTATGTTTTTCAAATTAAAGGGCCCCCAATACAGATAAACAAGGACTTGTTGTAAGACCAAACCAAATGTTTTTTTAGTTTTTTTTCCCAAGGACACCCTCTCATGCACATGTGATTGGCATGTTTGGGCGGGAGAGTACAAAGAGACATTGTAGGACATTGTAAGTGGGTCAATAATAGCAGAGGGCCATTCCTGCACTTGGTGCACAGGTGACGGATGTCCTGTTGGTCTATGACTTTGTTTGTGAGTGCTGGGCTTTTGTTCCTCATAGTGGGAAAACAGCCCCCCACTCCGACTCCACTTCCGTTCCGTACAGGAAATGTGTTTCCTTTACTCATCGCGGGGTCATCTAGCCATCCTAAACAAAAGAATTCAATGACCTCTCAGGATTGGAATTTGTTTAATGTATTTGTTTAGTGGAAGTCACTGTTGTTTGATTCTTCCATTTCGGTTCTCCAGGTTCCAGGCCCGTTTCAGATAGTGGTCGTCTGCCCCGTATCATCCACCATCCCTCTGATGTGGTTGTCCGGGTGGGCAGTCCGGCCACGCTATCCTGCAGGGCAGAGGGCGACCCTAAGCCCACCATCCAGTGGCTCAGAAATGGCCAACCTCTTGATACGGACAAGATGGATGTGCAGTCACAGCCTGTCGTTTTACCAGAAGGAAGTTTGTTCTTCTTCAGCATCATCCCTGGCCGAAAGAGTCAGTCCCATGAAGCGTTATACGCCTGCGTGGCTCGCAACAGCGCTGGGGTCGCGACTAGCAGAAATGCCTCTCTTCATATAGCAGGTTTGAATCATGACAAAGTTTGATGTTTTCTAATATTAAAGGGGTCATATGATGCAATTTAAATTTTTCCTTTCTCTTTGGAGTGTTACAAACTCTTGGTGCATAAAGAGTTATGTGCCCTCTAAAAGCTTGCGTTATGCAAGTGAACGGCGTATTATTGTGCCATTTCAAAGAGGCACAAAATCACTTTCACTGACTCTTTCATTAACTGTTCCCTCCTGGTGGAATGACCTGCCCAAATCAATCCGAGCAGCTGAGTCCTTAGCCATCTTCAAGAAACGACTAAAAACACATCTGTTCCATCTTTATTTGACCCTCTAACTCTAGCACTTTCTATTCTATTTTAATTCTACTTTATATTTAAATTTTTTTTTAAACAAAACAAAAAAAACACTAACTTTATATTTGTTCTATTCTATCTACTTGTTTTTCTTTGTGTGTATGTGTGTATAATATATGTACACCTTGCTATGTGTACAAAAATTTAAAGGGGTCTGAATACTTTCCGTACCCACTGTATATATATATTCGTTTTTTTTAATTCACTCATGTTTGAGTTTCAGTTCTGCGTGAAGAGTTCCGTGTGCAGCCCAGTGACGTGGAAGTGGCGGTTGGTGAGGTGGCTGTGATTGGGAAATTTCTTATAATTTACAATCTTAATCTTGTATTAAAAATTGCATTTGCCAGATATTTAATCAACCCTGACCACAGTCTGCAAATCCACTATGTGACGGCGCAGGACACGGGCAGGTACACCTGCACTGCGGAAAATAAGCTTGGGGTGTCTGTGGCCAGTGCGCAGCTTCTTGTAGAGGGTAAGAATGCATCTAATCAGTCAATTAACAGCACTTAAACCAACTTCCCAGCATGCCATTTGTATTCCACTCACCTTGTTAAGATAAGTGATGTCTGGCTAATATATGTTACAGATGCAGGAAGCACCAGACTGAGAGACTTACACAAGGAGCTGTCTGCCTTACGTGTGAGCCTGGAGAACGTCACAGTTATGAGTACCGCCTCCAACATGTCTCAAGTTATGTGGAGGGTAATACAGTTCATGCACCACATATTAAATAATTGTATTTTCTTAAGTAACATTTTAAGATGGCATCACGTCATCCGTGTTCTCTCTTCTGTTGTCTTTCTGTTTGTAGTTGCAGTCGTCTATGTCACAGCCTCATTATTTTGAAGGCTTTGAGGTGCTGTATCGCTCTCTCCTGCCAGCCATCTCAGACTGGACAGCTCAAAGGGTTCCTCAGCTTGGCCTTCACACACATGTGGGACCTCTGAAGAGAGGCTACAAGTACGAGTTCAAAGTCCGACCCTACGGCAGCAGCCTGTATGGCAGGGAAAGCAACACCAGACACGTACGAGTGCCAGAAATAGGTGAGAATATAGAGCATCCTTTACAATAAAAGTACTGTGGTGGTACCATAGTCAAAGATGGTAATACCATGCTGCTTTATTAGTAATTACCATATTCACATACCATGGTATTTGCATGGTACTCCAAAGTACTTCAGTTGAGGGTTATTATTGTTAACGAAAATAAACTTTAAATTGTATATATATATATATATATATATATATAGTTTGTTTTAGTTGCCAATGGAACTAGCAACTAGCATTTAGTTTAACTAAAATAACCAAAACAAAATAAACTAAAACTAATAAATAAAAAATGAACAAAAACTATAGGCATATTTAAAAAAAAAAGATAAAATAACACTGCTTCAGATAATGCTATGATATTATTATAGGACATATTCAGAAAACATGATATTGTGGTTACTTCATATATGTTGTTTACTTCTGATCTTACTCTTTTGTACATATGCACTATCATTAAAAAGGTCAGTAAGTTCATGTGACACAGAAGACTAGAGTTTTGATGCCGAAAATTTAGCTTTGCCATCACATAAATAAATTACATTTAAAAAAAATATATTAATTAGAAAATAGAAATGGTTATTTGAAATTGTAATAATATTTCACAATATTAATGTTATTGTATTATCGATCAAATAAATGCAGCCCTGGTGAGCATAAGAGACTTCTCTCTGAAACCTAAAAAAATTGTACTAACCCCAAACCTTTGGACTAAAACCAAGCTGTCACCATGTGCCAACTGTAACCATGTGCCTTGTTCACAGTCCCCAGTGCACCACCTCAGGATGTGTCCATAACAATGCCCACTGACCGTAACGACACGGTGCACCTCAGCTGGGAGCCTCCACCTCATGACGCTCACAATGGAAACATTCAGGGATATCAGGTATTACTATAGCATAGAGACACTCATTGTGAAACAATGCTAATAATGCACTGAGAGGCCTTCTCTCTAGAAGATATGTCATGAGACAATAGATTTTTTTCTAGTTCCAAAAAATGTATATAATTAACATTCATGTTTAATCAAAAGAAGCCTGGAAGCAGTTAAATAATTCCTATTTTCAGCCTCAGACACTTCTAGACTGTCTGATCACATTAAAATGACATGACCCTGCCAAAATCAACTGTTTCAGATATGCTGGCTGCTACAAAACTACAGAGTAATTAGAGTCACTATGTTTTTATTAGTCCACAATTCACAGATTCTGACCACAAAACTGATGCACATTTTCTTTGTTGCTATCTATATAAGCATTAGCAGAGACTGCAGCACCATTACATTTTCAGTTACCACTTCAGTCTATTATTGTGATATCATATTGACCTAAAATCACATAAACATATATAGTATATGTAGCCGCCTGCTTGATTTTACTATGCTGTTCTTTCTGACAGGTGTGGTGTGTGGAGTCTGAGGAACAGAAGTCTTTTAACTGGACAGTGGACAGTGGAACACACAGTATTGAGATCAGCACACTGCAGCCTGGCAAGCTGTTTTGGGTAACAGTGGCTGCCATTAACGGGGCGGGAGTGGGGGTCCAGAGCGATCCATACAAACTGCTCATAGGTAAGTGAAGAAAACACTAAGGTATGAAACAATAATTTTAAAAGTGTAATCTATTCAATATATTACCTGTTGCTCTTTCTTTCCCAGAGTCGAGGCAGGAGGCAACACCTTATCAGACTGGCATACTCAGTATGTCTCATTTCCTTGCTGTGATTAAAGAGCCGGTATTCATTGGGAGTGTTGGCACCCTCCTGTGGTGTGTTTTGATGATTACTACCGTGTTTTTGTACAGGAGACATGTCAGACCCACCAACCTGGGAGGCAAACGCTCTGGTAATCTATAATAAAGTCTTGATTTACTGCCTTTTTTCTATACACACATAATAATAATTTTCACTTTCATTTATAGGCTTATATAGACTGGAAAGTGAAGATCTCATCATCAAACACAGGTAAAAAATTAGATGTTTGATTTAAAAATACAGTAATGGAAAGCATAGTTGAATGATCATAATACTACTGAACTTTGAAATATACCACAGTACTGTATGATAACCATGTTCATATACAATGGTACATTAAAGAATACCAAACTACTATATTGTACTATAGTAAACTACTAGTATAATGTGTACAAAAAGCATGGTATTGCCATTACACATTTCCAAAAAGTACACTAAATGTTGCATTTTATATGCACCAGCTCAGCAAGTAACTTTGGAAACTCATTTCTGTAGAAGCTCATCTCTGTATTCCACATGAGAAAAAAGCCATGCTTTAATAAATCTAACTTATGAGTTAACAAATCAAACTTTTGACATACTAAGTTGCAATTGACCTATTGGTAAGCCCCTCCCCTCGAATGCAGATGAGCCAATGGCAGTTGAGTATTAGTTGCACGGGGACCGGAACTCGGACATCTTTAGATTTCAGCGCCATAGAGAAACATTGGAAGATCCCAATCTTTCATCGGTTTGATGGTGTTTATGCTACAAAAATGGAAAAACCCATGTGCCTGGGGTACTTGTAACACTGATTCCAGGTATCCTGAGAGGATGGGCAAAAAAAACGGAGCAAAATATCCCTAAGCATTCAACCCCAATCCCAAGGAAGACGAAAACGTCATTTTCTGGTTGTCATACTCTCATTAAGTTCCAACTTTCATCTGCTCAAGCAGAACGTTAATGTCATCTTGTGCTTCAGCAAGGTATCTCTGGCTAAAGCTAGCTAACGTTAAAGTTGGTGAGTCCATGCTAACGTACAAACTTAAATAGCTAACTGTTCTCACGTCATGTACAGTGTAGGTCAAAGAAACATAAACGAAGGTCTACATTTCAATGCCTTTCCATATTAAACTGGTTAAATGTAAATTAATTTAATCTTACCCTGTGGTACATGAATCCTAGATGTTGTCATCTGCGATTGTGACAACCGTAACATAAGGCTTCTCCTGCTTGCATTGTGATCTGTAAACCCTCGCTTCCAAATTAATCTTGTTACCACCATATTTATTTTTTAAATCTTTTATATATCCCTCTATGGCAGGGGTAGGTAGGCAAGTTCGGTCCTAGAGAGCCGCAGTCCTGCAAAGTTCAGCTCCAACCCTAATCAAACACACCTGAACAAGCTAATCAATGTCTTCAGGATTACTAAGGCTATAGGCAGGTGAGTTTTTTTTCAGGGTTGGAGCTGAACTCTGCAGGACCAAACTTGCCTACCCCTGCTCTATGGCAAATTTAAGTCCCACTTGAATGGTGGTCCTTCTGTGTCCAAAATGTATCAAAAACATCTTGGGACAAGGTTTTTACACTGACAGCTGTCATTGTAAGACAGCTAGCAACTCTGTTTGTTTGTCCGAGGGGGGGCGAGGCTTACTGATTAGTCAATTATGAGATAAAGTCTTCTTATATTTAATTTTTTACTAATAATTATGTATTGTTTTTATCTCATAATTATGACTTAATATCTCATTTGCCAATTTACTTTTAATCTAATAATTTCAATTTAAATCATAATTTTTACTGTTTATCTCATAATCATAATTTACCAAAGCATGACTTTTTTTCTTATGTAATACTATACTTATGAAATAGGCTTCCATAAGTAACTGAGTCACCATCCTTATTATTTCCTTTCTAGAATGGCGGCACCAGACTCTCCATGGATCTCTGGAGGCTGGAGGCCAGATTCCAGCAGTGAGACCAAGCAGGGCCTTTGGACCCCGAGTCAAGAGAACTCTGACTTCCGGAGGACCAGTAAGTCACGACTTTAGTTAATATACATAGTCATAACCTTCCCTTGAGTTTCAACCCTCACCTACTTCTCTTTTTTCCTCTCGTCATCTCTCTGGATGACAGATACGTCCTCATAAGAACCTTTAAAAAATGCCTGTCACCCCTGAAGTCAAGACACTGCAGAGTCCTCATCAACTCTAATTACTGTTGACATTTTGGCACATTATGTAAATCAGTCTGGTTTTTTACCTCCCTACTGACAGCTCTGCCCATTATGGCTAAAAAGGACCCCAACCCTCTGCGGTCAGCTGTCCCGATTGTACCAGACAATTGTGGCGTCTATGGCACCTTTTATGTGGATCTAACCGGCAACGTACTGAAGACGTTTAATAGTCCAGGTCGCTGTCCCAGAATGCCCCACGTCAAATCTCAGCTGCATAACTCCGAAACCGTTTGGATCACTGAACCAATCGTCAAAACTGCCGTTGTGAGGGAAGTGCAGGCATTGCCATGGAAACGTGCCCTCCCTGCCCAGCCCAACATGGGAGTTCTGAAGGAATCATGGGAGAAAAATTACAAGCGTGGTGAGACATTCATTCATTCAGCGAGTTATTCACATTCATTTTGTCCAGCACTAATACGTGTAAGCCCCTCCCCTCGAATGCAGATGAGCCAATGGCAGTTGAGTATTAGTTGCACGGGGACCGGAACTCGGACATCTTTAGATTTCAGCGCCATAGAGAAACATTGGAAGATCCCAATCTTTCATCGGTTTGATGGTGTTTATGCTACAAAAATGGAAAAACCCATGTGCCTGGGGTACTTGTAACACTGATTCCAGGTATCCTGAGAGGATGGGCAAAAAAAACGGAGCAAAATATCCCTAAGCATTCAACCCCAATCCCAAGGAAGACGAAAACGTCATTTTCTGGTTGTCATACTCTCATTAAGTTCCAACTTTCATCTGCTCAAGCAGAACGTTAATGTCATCTTGTGCTTCAGCAAGGTATCTCTGGCTAAAGCTAGCTAACGTTAAAGTTGGTGAGTCCATGCTAACGTACAAACTTAAATAGCTAACTGTTCTCACGTCATGTACAGTGTAGGTCAAAGAAACATAAACGAAGGTCTACATTTCAATGCCTTTCCATATTAAACTGGTTAAATGTAAATTAATTTAATCTTACCCTGTGGTACATGAATCCTAGATGTTGTCATCTGCGATTGTGACAACCGTAACATAAGGCTTCTCCTGCTTGCATTGTGATCTGTAAACCCTCGCTTCCAAATTAATCTTGTTACCACCATATTTATTTTTTAAATCTTTTATATATCCCTCTATGGCAGGGGTAGGTAGGCAAGTTCGGTCCTAGAGAGCCGCAGTCCTGCAAAGTTCAGCTCCAACCCTAATCAAACACACCTGAACAAGCTAATCAATGTCTTCAGGATTACTAAGGCTATAGGCCTATAGGCAGTTTTTCAGGGTTGGAGCTGAACTCTGCAGGACCAAACTTGCCTACCCCTGCTCTATGGCAAATTTAAGTCTTTAAGTCCTGGTGGTCCTTCTGTGTCCAAAATGTATCAAAAACATCTTGGGACAAGGTTTTTACACTGACAGCTGTCATTGTAAGACAGCTAGCAACTCTGTTTGTTTGTCCGAGGGGGGGCGAGGCTTACTGATTAGTCAATTATGAGATAAAGTCTTCTTATATTTAATTTTTTACTAATAATTATGTATTGTTTTTATCTCATAATTATGACTTAATATCTCATTTGCCAATTTACTTTTAATCTAATAATTTCAATTTAAATCATAATTTTTACTGTTTATCTCATAATCATAATTTACCAAAGCATGACTTTTTTTCTTATGTAATACTATACTTATGAAATAGGCTTCCATAAGTAACTGAGTCACCATCCTTATTATTTCCTTTCTAGAATGGCGGCACCAGACTCTCCATGGATCTCTGGAGGCTGGAGGCCAGATTCCAGCAGTGAGACCAAGCAGGGCCTTTGGACCCCGAGTCAAGAGAACTCTGACTTCCGGAGGACCAGTAAGTCACGACTTTAGTTAATATACATAGTCATAACCTTCCCTTGAGTTTCAACCCTCACCTACTTCTCTTTTTTCCTCTCGTCATCTCTCTGGATGACAGATACGTCCTCATAAGAACCTTTAAAAAATGCCTGTCACCCCTGAAGTCAAGACACTGCAGAGTCCTCATCAACTCTAATTACTGTTGACATTTTGGCACATTATGTAAATCAGTCTGGTTTTTTACCTCCCTACTGACAGCTCTGCCCATTATGGCTAAAAAGGACCCCAACCCTCTGCGGTCAGCTGTCCCGATTGTACCAGACAATTGTGGCGTCTATGGCACCTTTTATGTGGATCTAACCGGCAACGTACTGAAGACGTTTAATAGTCCAGGTCGCTGTCCCAGAATGCCCCACGTCAAATCTCAGCTGCATAACTCCGAAACCGTTTGGATCACTGAACCAATCGTCAAAACTGCCGTTGTGAGGGAAGTGCAGGCATTGCCATGGAAACGTGCCCTCCCTGCCCAGCCCAACATGGGAGTTCTGAAGGAATCATGGGAGAAAAATTACAAGCGTGGTGAGACATTCATTCATTCAGCGAGTTATTCACATTCATTTTGTCCAGCACTAATACGTGTTTGTCTACTTCCAGAGCTGCATGCTGTAAAAAGTGCCCCACTAATGCCCGTGAGTAAACAAGCACTGGCAGTGTGCAGTGCATCGAGTAAACGTCAGCAAAGATTCAGTCAGCACCCTGCAGGTTTGAACATTAGCATGTCTTGTGTTGAAAATTCTATTATACAATCTATTTATTAAATCTCTTCTAAGCTGGTCTACATTCCCTTAGGTGGTGTATCAGAGCCTGTGAAGCCGCCGAGTTCTCCACGTATCCTGCACTACTCTGCCTCTCTGCAACTGGTGGACATGTTACCCAGCCCTCCACCTCTTCCTATGGAGGACAACCACAGCCTCAGCTCAGAGGACGAGTGAGAATCACACCTATACACAAAGCCAAATTTAAAGCAGCACTATGTAACTTTTGGCGCTCTAGCGGTTAATAAACAGAACTGCACACATCCCGTGGAAGAACATTCCAACCGGAGCTACTTCTCTTAAGTTTATGTGTAGGGCGATTCACGCAGTTTGGAAACTCATTTCTGTAGAAGCTCATCTCTGTATTCCACATGAGAAAAAAGCCATGCTTTAATAAATCTAACTTATGAGTTAACAAATCAAACTTTTGACATACTAAGTTGCAATTGACCTATTGGTAAGCCCCTCCCCTCGAATGCAGATGAGCCAATGGCAGTTGAGTATTAGTTGCACGGGGACCGGAACTCGGACATCTTTAGATTTCAGCGCCATAGAGAAACATTGGAAGATCCCAATCTTTCATCGGTTTGATGGTGTTTATGCTACAAAAATGGAAAAACCCATGTGCCTGGGGTACTTGTAACACTGATTCCAGGTATCCTGAGAGGATGGGCAAAAAAAACGGAGCAAAATATCCCTAAGCATTCAACCCCAATCCCAAGGAAGACGAAAACGTCATTTTCTGGTTGTCATACTCTCATTAAGTTCCAACTTTCATCTGCTCAAGCAGAACGTTAATGTCATCTTGTGCTTCAGCAAGGTATCTCTGGCTAAAGCTAGCTAACGTTAAAGTTGGTGAGTCCATGCTAACGTACAAACTTAAATAGCTAACTGTTCTCACGTCATGTACAGTGTAGGTCAAAGAAACATAAACGAAGGTCTACATTTCAATGCCTTTCCATATTAAACTGGTTAAATGTAAATTAATTTAATCTTACCCTGTGGTACATGAATCCTAGATGTTGTCATCTGCGATTGTGACAACCGTAACATAAGGCTTCTCCTGCTTGCATTGTGATCTGTAAACCCTCGCTTCCAAATTAATCTTGTTACCACCATATTTATTTTTTAAATCTTTTATATATCCCTCTATGGCAGGGGTAGGTAGGCAAGTTCGGTCCTAGAGAGCCGCAGTCCTGCAAAGTTCAGGCTAGCTAACGTTAAAGTTGGTGAGTCCATGCTAACGTACAAACTTAAATAGCTAACTGTTCTCACGTCATGTACAGTGTAGGTCAAAGAAACATAAACGAAGGTCTACATTTCAATGCCTTTCCATATTAAACTGGTTAAATGTAAATTAATTTAATCTTACCCTGTGGTACATGAATCCTAGATGTTGTCATCTGCGATTGTGACAACCGTAACATAAGGCTTCTCCTGCTTGCATTGTGATCTGTAAACCCTCGCTTCCAAATTAATCTTGTTACCACCATATTTATTTTTTAAATCTTTTATATATCCCTCTATGGCAGGGGTAGGTAGGCAAGTTCGGTCCTAGAGAGCCGCAGTCCTGCAAAGTTCAGCTCCAACCCTAATCAAACACACCTGAACAAGCTAATCAATGTCTTCAGGATTACTAAGGCTATAGGCAGGTGAGTTTTTTTTCAGGGTTGGAGCTGAACTCTGCAGGACCAAACTTGCCTACCCCTGCTCTATGGCAAATTTAAGTCCCACTTGAATGGTGGTCCTTCTGTGTCCAAAATGTATCAAAAACATCTTGGGACAAGGTTTTTACACTGACAGCTGTCATTGTAAGACAGCTAGCAACTCTGTTTGTTTGTCCGAGGGGGGGCGAGGCTTACTGATTAGTCAATTATGAGATAAAGTCTTCTTATATTTAATTTTTTACTAATAATTATGTATTGTTTTTATCTCATAATTATGACTTAATATCTCATTTGCCAATTTACTTTTAATCTAATAATTTCAATTTAAATCATAATTTTTACTGTTTATCTCATAATCATAATTTACCAAAGCATGACTTTTTTTCTTATGTAATACTATACTTATGAAATAGGCTTCCATAAGTAACTGAGTCACCATCCTTATTATTTCCTTTCTAGAATGGCGGCACCAGACTCTCCATGGATCTCTGGAGGCTGGAGGCCAGATTCCAGCAGTGAGACCAAGCAGGGCCTTTGGACCCCGAGTCAAGAGAACTCTGACTTCCGGAGGACCAGTAAGTCACGACTTTAGTTAATATACATAGTCATAACCTTCCCTTGAGTTTCAACCCTCACCTACTTCTCTTTTTTCCTCTCGTCATCTCTCTGGATGACAGATACGTCCTCATAAGAACCTTTAAAAAATGCCTGTCACCCCTGAAGTCAAGACACTGCAGAGTCCTCATCAACTCTAATTACTGTTGACATTTTGGCACATTATGTAAATCAGTCTGGTTTTTTACCTCCCTACTGACAGCTCTGCCCATTATGGCTAAAAAGGACCCCAACCCTCTGCGGTCAGCTGTCCCGATTGTACCAGACAATTGTGGCGTCTATGGCACCTTTTATGTGGATCTAACCGGCAACGTACTGAAGACGTTTAATAGTCCAGGTCGCTGTCCCAGAATGCCCCACGTCAAATCTCAGCTGCATAACTCCGAAACCGTTTGGATCACTGAACCAATCGTCAAAACTGCCGTTGTGAGGGAAGTGCAGGCATTGCCATGGAAACGTGCCCTCCCTGCCCAGCCCAACATGGGAGTTCTGAAGGAATCATGGGAGAAAAATTACAAGCGTGGTGAGACATTCATTCATTCAGCGAGTTATTCACATTCATTTTGTCCAGCACTAATACGTGTTTGTCTACTTCCAGAGCTGCATGCTGTAAAAAGTGCCCCACTAATGCCCGTGAGTAAACAAGCACTGGCAGTGTGCAGTGCATCGAGTAAACGTCAGCAAAGATTCAGTCAGCACCCTGCAGGTTTGAACATTAGCATGTCTTGTGTTGAAAATTCTATTATACAATCTATTTATTAAATCTCTTCTAAGCTGGTCTACATTCCCTTAGGTGGTGTATCAGAGCCTGTGAAGCCGCCGAGTTCTCCACGTATCCTGCACTACTCTGCCTCTCTGCAACTGGTGGACATGTTACCCAGCCCTCCACCTCTTCCTATGGAGGACAACCACAGCCTCAGCTCAGAGGACGAGTGAGAATCACACCTATACACAAAGCCAAATTTAAAGCAGCACTATGTAACTTTTGGCGCTCTAGCGGTTAATAAACAGAACTGCACACATCCCGTGGAAGAACATTCCAACCGGAGCTACTTCTCTTAAGTTTATGTGTAGGGCGATTCACGCAGGTATGTGTTACTCCGCAGCGGTGACGACCCGACCAGGCTACAATAGTCCAAATATAAGTACTTATTATAAGTGTACTGTAGTGATTCGGAATAAGACAAAAACGCAGTTTGGAAGATGAATTCATGATGTACTCGTTCATTATGTACATTTTGCTAATTTTTAACACAGAAAAAGTTACATAGTGCTGCTTTAAATCTTCAATGATTTTATTACTGATTTATAGCCCAGCAGAACATTAAGGTTAAATTGGTTAACTTTAGGTAATGCATTATGTCTTTAAGTAACAATGAACAATATTTTTTCAGCATTTATTAATCCAAGTTAAATGGATAGTTCACCCAAAATGAAAATTCTGTTATCTATTTACCTATGCCCATGTCGTCCAAACCTCAGTGACATTTTAACATTTCAAATTGTATAAATCGCTGTTCAGTTCAGGTAAAGTAATAAAACTTTACTGTAAAGTGGTGCCATTATGTGGCTTAAAGGTATCGACTTTGTGCCATGTTTCCCCTAAAGAAAGAGTAATAAAAATAAGCACAAATGAGACAATAATTGACATACTAAAAGAATTTGAGCTATAAAAAGTGTGTGGGAAACAAAATTCAGATAATTTGGTCTGGAAAGAGCTTGATGTAAGACTTTTGCAGGTGTCTAGGGAAATCAGAGCACAGTATTTGACATCTGAATCTATAAAGGAGACATGAGAGATCACTAGGGCCTTTCTCTGAGCAGAAACTTCTGAGAAGCTATAAATTCATCTATTTGCTATCCATTTTGTCTCATAGCTATCTAGGAGAAACAATTAAAGATAAGAAAGTGATCTCATTTGTGATTTTTCTTTCCTACAGGCAACAGTATTCAGCAGAATGCTTTGAAGTTTTAGGTTCCCGTTTATCAGAGTTCAGTTCCTTCTCAGTGCACTGAAACAAACTAGAACTTTAGATTGTCTTTCTTTTCAATGTGGCTTCTTAAGAGGTCATAAGCTTCAGTTTCACCGTTGTCATAGCAGGATGTGAGTAGTGCAAAATAAACTACTGTCACAGAGCTCAAGATTTGTGTCCATTTCTCAGACATTTGAGAGGTTGCCGGTCCGTAATGAGGTTTCCCCTAAAGAAAGAGTAATAAAAATAAGCACAAATGAGACAATAATTGACATACTAAAAGAATTTGAGCTATAAAAAGTGTGTGGGAAACAAAATTCTGATAATTTGGTCTGGAAAGAGCTTGAAGCTAAGACTTTTGCAGGTGTCTAGGGAAATCAGAGCACAGTATTTGACATCTGAATCTATAAAGGAGACATGAGAGATCACTAGGGTCTTTCTCTGAGCAGAAACTTCTGAGAAGCTATAAATTCATCTATTTGCTATCCATTTTGTCTCATAGCTATCTAGGAGAAACAACTAAAGATAAGAAAGTGATCTCATTTGTGATTTTTCTTTCCTACAGGCAACAGTATTCAGCAGAATGCTTTGAAGTTTTAGGTTCCCGTTTATCAGAGTTCAGTTCCTTCTCAGTGCACTGAAACAAACTAGAACTTTAGATTGTCTTTCTTTTCAATGTGGCTTCTTAAGAGGTCATAAGCTTCAGTTTCACCATTGTCATAGCAGGATGTGAGTAGTGCAAAATAAACTACTGTCACAGAGCTCAAGATTTGTGTCCATTTCTCAGACATTTGAGAGGTTGCCGGTCCGTAATGACGGTGTCTGTGACAATACAGTGTCATTATACCATGACAAGAGAGAAGTCTACTACTGTCTCTCTGCTCTCAGACTAAAAGACTGGAAACCAATTTAGTTTGTAGCTCAACTCTAATGGACAGGGAGTTTTAAGAGGAAATGGCCCACACCATTTATTAGAAGGTCTGTAATTGGGAGGAAGTGTGTTTTAAATGCTGTTGGACACAGACAGGAAGCTTTTTCCGGCAGTGCACACTGAGGCTGCAGGCGTTATGGAGAAAGAAGAGGGAAAAAGTGGCTAGTTGGAAGGGACAAAGAAATGCCAAATCATACAAATCTGATGTCAGCAACACAGATATATGAACAAAAACCTTCCTAAAAGAACATTTTATTGTTGAGAGGTTCCTCTTTAAATGTCTCAAAAGACATAATGAGGTTATGTTTCATATATAGGGTAATTGGTCTCAGATGTTGCTTAGACACAAATGAGATCGACAAAGTACGATTATAAAGCTTAATGCAGATAGAATAGTTCAGATTTTTAGTTTTTGGATGAATTCGATGAGAAAAGATTGTGCACATTGCAGGTTCTGCAAATTGTTTCAATCCTTTCTGAACTCAAAATGAGACACATGAGATTACTAGGGGTCTTTTCTTCACAAGGAAAAAAATCTATCTGGTTACTCAAATCAGGTCTACATTTCTGTCTATGATAAATACATTAAAAACATCTAATTTGTGATTTTTACTTTCCTATAGATAAAATAGAGACATGCAGAGAAAAATAGATATCATTACCACAAATTAGTACTTCCCCGACTTATACATTAGTGGACACATTTTATTAATTAGTTTCCTTGTTTTAGTTAAATGGCCAAGTTTGATTCATTCATTCCCTTGTTCTAGGTGGCCATGTTGTACTAATTCGATCCCATGTTTTTATTTAGTTAAATGATGGCCACAATTGAACAAAAAATGAAGTAAGTTGTATTAGTAAAACATGGCCATGACTTACTAACAAGGGAACAAATCAATAAATCACGGGATGTCCTTTGCAGGGCTCCATAGTAAAGTTATTTTCCTTAGAAGTAGCATTTGAAATGCAGCAGACATAAACAAGTAGCCTGCTAGCTTGGCAAATACTCTACTACGCATATGTTCAATTATACTAGAAAAGCTTATAATTGAACATTTGTGTTGGGTAAAGGTTTAAACTTCCAGGTTAAATTTGTAACATTATGCTAAGCTAATATGCTGAACAGTTAGCATGCAAAAGTAAGATAACTAAAAAGAATGAGAATTGTTTAATAGCTTAGCAAATACTTTACACATATGTTCAATTATACTATAAAACCTAAAAATTTAACATTTGCCTGTGTTGATGGCTGCTACAGTATGCTAAGCTAATATGCTGAGCAGTTAACATGCAAAAATAAGCTAATCAAAAAGGTTAAGGTAAAAGGTAGGTAAAATCTATAGCTTCAGTTATATACTATTATATGTAACAGTTTAAAAGACATGTAGCAATGCCAGAAATGGTTGGCGTAGTATGCTAGTGTAACAGAGGCCAGCGGTAGGTGCTGTGCAGGTAAACCTCACTCCCCTGATCTCAAGAGACGCACTAGCGACTGATGCTAGTGGCTGCAGTCTTTAGCCTCCTTGTTAGTGCGTCCGCCTCCCATGCCGGAGACCCGGGTTCGAGATCCACTCGGAGCGAGAACAAGGTGTGGTGGAGAGGACCCGGGGGAGAGGGGTTACATTGGTGCCGTGACCCGGATGGGAGTGATGATTAGGGGGGTGAGTGTAACGGAGGCCAGCGGTAGGTGCTGTGCAGGTAAACCTCACTCCCCTGATCTCAAGACACACACTAGTGACTGATGCTAGTGGCTGCAGTCTTTAGCCTCCTTGTTAGTGCGTCTGCCTCCCATGCCGGAGACCCACTCGGAGCGAGAACGAGGTGTGGCTGAGAGGACCCGGTGGAGAGGGGTTACACTAGTATGAGTGATGAGCTAGTATTTAGTCACTGGTTAGAAAGGAAACATGATTATGATATGCCCATCTATATCTGATCCCTCAGGTCTACCAGATCCACCAAATTGACAGTTGACATCGGCTCTCTGCAGTCTGTGTGTGCTGCCTCTGGGCTCCAGGGTCCCGCTACGGCCACTACGGGCTGTCCAACCCACCACAGTCCAGCCCAGCCAAGCCCGACCTACAGCCACCTGTCCACAGCCTCCTTCTGTCTTTCCAATGGTGACTACCAGGACACCACTCTAAGTACTCAGGGCCACACTCAATGCATGGAGATGAGCCCCAAACCACAGGGGCAAAGGTAAAAGAATACCTGAAAGAGTATTTATCTGAAGGAAGTATCAAGCCAAGGGCTAATGTTGATGTCTCCAACAGTACGTCCCATCAAAGTTCTCCTTCAATGCCCCGTCCGTTCTCTCCCACGCCCACGTTCAGTTACATCTGTGGGCCTGTGGAACGGGAGATGGATGACGAGCAGGAGTCTCAGCCGATCGGCCTCAGGAGAGCCACCCTGAGGAGCATGCCCTCGTCTTGCTGCAGCGAATGGGAGGGTTCATTGTGGAACGGCTGGGGTTCGGTGTCAGAGAGCAACGTGACAAGCGCTCGAACGAGTATCATCAGCTCCTCTGACTGCTCGTTCATAAATGATGCAAACTTTGCCCGCGTCCTGGCTATGACAGCCGAGTCCATGAGCGGTACTTTATCAGGCAAGATACAAACTCTCTTCAACCTCTGTAGAATTAGGTTGTTGTAATGTACTGTATAGTCTCCACGTGATTCAAGTACTAAGCTGGCTAACAGCAAATACAGATGTAGTTGTCCACTAGGTGGAACAATCTGCTCATGCTGTTGAGTTCCATGGCTTTATCAGCAAATCTACACAGATTCACCACCCCAGAAAGCTCTGCTAATTTCCACATATTTATAAAATTAAATAAAGCTGCTTTCTAAATAAATAAATGTAAATATTTTGACTTATTTTAATCAAGCTTTCAGGAACCAATAAGACTGTAGTACTCTTATATTTTACCATGTTTAAACGTGTTCTGCAAATTTCTTCTAGGGATACTTATAAGTTATGTATAAATCTGACCACATGAATTGCCAAAAACTGTGATTACATTTCACTTTTTTTGTTGCTCACCAGCTTTTCTCAGTTCATCATTGTCAGTCACTAGTTTTTCAGCTATGCAGGGCTGTAAAATTACTCTGCCTCATTTGCATAGCCAACAAAAAGTATGATGTAAATATTTGCTTTCAATTCAGTTCATTTAAAATGATTCATAATTTTGACATATAGTGTATACAGTGCAACCAAAGTATTTAAAAATGACTCATTTAATGTAATTGCGTTACACAAAGAATATGTTTGTAAGGTTTTAAATGAAAAATTAAGATTTTGAAAACTTTCAGCTTGTCAAATTTTAATGGAACATGTTCATAGTTAATGTGATAATTTAAACTACACCTGCCTTCACCTAGAGACCGTAGGTTAAAAAGAATAGCAAAAAATAACTGATAAAAGTGAGTTTAGTTCTGAGAAAATTATTTGATTTGATATTTTGTTATCTAATGTAATAACATTCAGACTAATAAAGCGCTTAAGTATGTTTGGGATTGTTGCATAACTATTTGGGATGAGAATTTTCATTGTCAGATCAGCTTCACGAGGCACTGCAGCATTACTCTTCCCAACGAGACTGGTGCTACTTTGGTACAATGAGAAATAATGGGATTTGAGTGCCTGTCTGCAAATTGTCTGAGCTACCCCACCATCCTCTCTGAAGTTTCAGCAAATCAATCACGGCTTTCAAAAGAGAAACCTACAGGGACTTTCCTCTCTCCATTTGCTGATTGTTTCCCCCTTTCACTGCATCAGGTTAAATGACTAGTACATTGTAACTGATGAGTTCAGCACCGTTGTCATTCAGTGTTATAATGGTAAAATTGACTTGAACGTCTTTATACGTGTTAACAGATTGCTTTTATGTATTTTGTACCTATGTGCATGCGTAAGCATTCATCTCCTTTGATTTCCTTTGTGATGTGTATGTGATCGTGCATTTTCTGCAGATTTCTCCCCGCCTGCATCCCCCCTGAGTGTTCTATTCCCCCCTCGAGAGTGTTTTGGAGAGGTGGAGCCGCTGCCCGTGTGGGACTGGAGCACTGCGTGGGTGGAGGAGTTGGAGGCCCAGTTTAAAGCCTCCAGCGAGGCCAGAAGAACTGCCACATCTAGCCGACACTCAGGCATTGAGCGTTGGAGAGGACATCTGGAAACCCCCTCGCACTGATGATCGACTTGCACATGCCTAGGGATCGTTTATGAACTACATTTCCCTGCATTCCTCAGGGCAACCCCCATTTCTTGTAGTTTTGATGGGCTTTGGTATGTAGCAAGGTCAAATATAAGAACACACTGCCGCAAGGTACAGTAGGTGCAGTTTATATGCCACTTTCCATAAGGACAGTTGAGTTGTACCACACCATAATAAAGACTATTGTATAGGATGTTCATATTGGCATTCAAAGAAATGTAAATAAACCAATTTTATTTAATAATACTCCACATACAATTTTATAAAATCATGTACGCTTTTATACGACAGAGTTATCTAAAATACGCAGGAAATATTATACAAGATGTTTTTGTATTTTAAGATTCTTTTTTTATTATTTTATAATTAAAATACATTTCTTTTTTTATTTAACTTTGAAAAATCATAGTTAATTTTGCATTTATATCGGAATGTAATTTAACTAAATGTTAGCAATTTTTGATCAATTTTTAAAACAAAAAGTTATTTTTATTGTTGATTGTTGTTTTTTTTGTATGAACGTAGTTTGTTCTGTAGACATACTGTTTTAGCTGTCAGTTTTTTTGTTTTCTTTTACGTACATCATAAATATTTCTCACAATTGCTGCACTACTAAAAAGTCACATTTTATTTTTACTAATTGCCTTTTTTAAAGTTAATAAAAAGATTATAAGTGAACATTTTCAGATTACTCTGATTACTAATGACATGTTTGTGTTTGTTGCATTTGTGTCCGACTGTCTTGTAGTTAAGGGAGCACAAGAGGTCTGTCAAGAGAACATGTACGGCCCTCCAGAGCACTAAACCTCACCGCAAGCCAGCAGAACCAAATCAGACAACTCTAGACACCCGCTGGACACACACACACACACTCACAGAAAACACAAGTGACCATGGCATGACTGCAGAGGGATTATCGCTTCTCTCTCTCACTACGGCCATATGCTTGGCACAAAAACACACCTCCCCCATTACACACTTTTATGCGTGTGCACACAAACACACTGTTCGGATCTACAGGCTTGAATTTGTCTATGGCCAAAAAGGCATCTTTTTATAGCCTGCTGGTAATCCTTTGACCCAGTTTGCCATGCAAGAGCACACTAAAACTACCAAGTTCTGCTTCTCTCTTGCTTGGTTTCTTTCATTCATTTGTTACAGCAGAGCACCCCACATTTGTCTGCAAGGATTATTTAGCATGAAACAATTCTTTCTTATAACATGATTAGGTTTTTAGAAATTCTTCTGATTAAAATCCTTGCTTATAAGTGATTGAGATAAAATATTCAACTAAATTTTTGCATTTCTTACCTCAATCCACCAGGTAAAAATAGTCACATTTGTGAGATATGAAGTCGCAATTGTGAGAAATAATGCTGCAAATACAATAAAAACAATTTATTGTTAATAAAAGGTTTAATACAATAAATGTGTTAAACTTGAGAAATAGTATCAACTATGATATAAAGTTGCAACTGTGAGATATAAAACTGCAAATAAAGTCAGATTTGTGAATAATGCAGTTGCAATTATGAGATAAAAAGTTGCAACTGTGAGATACAAAGTTACAAATGCAAGAAATTAAGTTTAAACTGACAAATAGTTGGTATTAGGATATAAAGTTTTGGACAATTGTGACAAAGTCAATTGAGAAATAATGTTTCAATTGTTAGATATAAAGTCACAATGGTTAGATACTTAAAACATGCCGTTATGAGAAAAAGAGGCGTAAAGTCAAAAATGTCCTATTATTATTATTACTACTACTACTACTACTGTCATTTTGTAAGGTGGAAAAAGGCTTCTACAAAAATTACGTCTGATCGCCCCAAAAAGTAATCAGTAATCAATAAAATAATTAGAGTTATCAGTTAGTACCACAAAATGGTACTGGACGAGTTCTGCACCAAAGTTTAATACTTAATGTTAGGGGTTAGTTCAAATGTCTAACCCTAATTATAAGTGATAGCAATAGTAATGACTTAGCAAGTACCACTAACAATTCACTTGCCAGCGAAATTTAAAACCATACGTCTCCAAATTTCTGTCAGAACATTTCTAAGTTCTGTCAGGGGGAAGTCGTGGCCTAATGATTAGAGAGTCAGACTCGTAAAGGTTGTGGGTTCGAGTCTCGTACCGGCAGGGATTGTAGGTGGGGGGAGTGAATGTACAGCACTCTCTCCCACCTTCAATACCACGACTGAGGTGCCCTTGAGCAAGACACCGAACTCCCAACTGCTCCCCGGGCGCCGCAGCAAAAAAATGGCTGCCCACTGCTCCGGGTGTGTGTGTGTTCACTGCTGTGTGTGTGCACTTTGGATGGGATAAATGCAGAGCACTAATTCCGAGTATGGGTCACCATACTTGGCCACATGTCACTTCACTTAAAAATGTTTCCAGGAATAATTGGCAGATAGGACAGATTTCCAAGGTAATGCACTGCGGCTCTAAATTATCAGCTAAATTGTCATTAATGTCCTACACCTGAGTCATCATCTCTCACGTCTGCATCCATCAACACACTAAATGAAAATTAAAGCCTCTGTGTGGCGCACCATCCAGTCGAGTGGGCTTACCCGAGGTCCTGTGCCCAGTCGGAGGTTCAGAGGCAGGTGTGTGTGGAGATGAGAAATGGCAGAGTGTTTTGCACAGGCCCCATGGGATCCAGCCTTCTGTTGGCCTTCACTGACCCAGATCGGCCCCGAGAAAGATTAAACTCAAGGGTCCTTCTGTTCCCTAAAGCTTACGCTCCACAGGAAGGGTACACAAATCCAAGCTAGTTCGACTGGAGCTGCGGAGAGAAAAGAAAAAGCATTTATGTGCAATTAGTCAAGAATTGCAGAGATTACACCAAACAGTTGACTGCGTATTCAAGAACCTCTCACGGGCCGATTGGTTCGGTTTATCTCAGAGGCGCAAACATTGCTTACTTGCCACATAAAGGAGCCCGGCAGTTGTTAACGCTAATATAATTCTTTTCTCGTCTCCAAAGAGCATTCAGCCTTTTTAACCCAGTGTTCATCGTAAAACATCTTGACATTGATTTCAAAGCCAAATGCCAAAGCCGCTGTTTTACTACCTTGTTTGAACATTGTCCTCTTAGTTTTAATGTGGCAATTGCATGCACTTTGCATACATTAAATGAACAATGAGGTTGAAGGCATCCATCTCAGGGTTCTGTAATTAACATGGAAATGGGAGAATGGTATTTTGACTGCACTTTGCTCCCCTCTGGCCCTCCTGGGCGTGTCTCCACTGACACAAAGCTAATAAATGAGCTAGTGATTTATGGGTAGTGGGTCTACACTTAAGGAAGAGTGCGTGTCTTGACTACTTGGTCTGAATTCTAAGGAGACCTTCAAAGGTGAAAGCTCAGATAATCTCTGTACCCTCTACCTCTCTCAAGAAATTGCACTCTCCATGTGATCCACCTCTAGGATTGATTCATTTTGAAAATGACAATCATGAGAAGAACCTTCCACTGGCAGGTTGCTTGCTCCAACACCTGCCTGGAATGTTCTAGTAGCCTAATTATGCAGACCTTGATTAGCTGGTTCAGGTTTGTTTAATTAAAGGAATCATATGATGCGATTTCATGTTTTCCTATGTCTTTGGAGTGTTAAAAGCTAAAGTCTCAAACCCAAAGAGATATTCTTTATAAAAGTGAACGCTCATCCGCACCTTCCTAAAACGCCTCGTTCAAACACGACTGACATTCTTTGTTTTTCTTCTTTCATTCTTTACCCTCTGCTTGCTTTATCTAACTCACTGTCCCTTTCTCCACACTTGTGTTTTCTTCATCCCTCTTCCCCGCGCCACCTTCGCCCCCCTTTTTCCTTCTCAGCATCCAGTGTTGCCCTGGAAGAGGTTATTTCATGGCCCTCAGTGGCGGTTCAGCCAGGTGGTAGTGCTGCCTGAGCGCCTGCTGTAACTGTAGAAACTAAAGATTAACGTTCGCGGAAAAGTCCAGTCTTGTCTTTGTTGTTGAAAATGTGTGGCCTGATTTCTGAATAAACTAACTAGCTAATAACTGCTTCAAAACTTTTAAACAACAAACGTTCAAAAACAGTAATACCATGTAGGCTATTATATAAAACCATTAAAAATTGTTACTTAAAATAAAGTACAGGTATAAAAAATAAATATAAAGGAAAACAATTTCAGATAATGATTTCTCAATTTCATTTAGTTTAACTTGATGTACTAAAA